ATTCCATTACTTTTTCATCTTGATAGATTTTTATTTTATCAAAATTATAAAAACATTCTATCTTCCTTCTTTGGTAAGGGGTGAGTATACTATGCTCTTAACTACACTTCATTTTTTAAATGCCCATAAGAACACCTTTAAGAAGTAAAAATTAACAAGGCACAGGGAAAAAAAAAACAACTTGTAAATCTCTTAAGTAATAGGTTGACCAGAGAACAGCTTAAGATCAGCCATGGTTAAATCTCTTCAAACTTTTTTCATGTAAACCCCAAGTAGAAAGGGATCTGAGAGGGCATATAATAGAGTAGGTTTCATGTGGAAGAACCTGTTGCTGAGCAAGAATTCCTGCTACAACATACCCAACAACTGTTCATCTAACTTATTCTTTGAGACCTCCAATGAGGGACAACTATCTCATTTACAGATGGCCTCCATTTTGTTAATAAAGTACTAGATAAGGACCTATGTTAAGGCAGAAAAAGATGGATTTAAGAAGCAAATATCTGGAATGGCCATTAAGGGATGAGGGACAGAGAATCAATCACAGAAGAATAAAAAGTTAGGTGATAATAAATAAAACAGAAAGAAGATAATAGCATTCTACTTTGGAACAGCACAAATTGTTAGGAAGTTTTTTCTTATGTCTAAATTTGTCCTGAATTTGTTTGGTCTACTTCACTTTCCAAATGGCAAACTGTGAGGTGTCCTGGTATAACAGAAACAGTGGGGAAAATCCTAACAGAGCTAAAAGCTTCTGGAAGTGGCAGATTCCTAATCAATGCAGGTTTCTGTTTGTCTTTAGTTTTTGAAGAGGACCAATGATATCACGGTTGATGCTGACTTGCCAGTGAACTGGATTTAAGTGAGATAGAGTTGCACAATGTCATCAACCTCACTCTCTCTTCCAGAGCCATGAAGATCCTGTGACAAGATAAAAATCAAGAAGATTGGCAATGGCCCAGGATGCAGTGGAAGACCTTGGCATCTTTGATGTCTGACCAAGCTAAAAGCACCCCACTGCTACCTGCATGGCCACTGGAACAAATTGTTCTTATCTGACCATTCTGACAGAAGAAGTCTTCTCATGCTTGGAGTAGACATCCTGCTGACTCACGAGAGGGTTAGAGGCCTATAGGTTACCCTCAAACTGGTTTAGCCCATCTGCTGAGATGGTTTTTAAGTAGAAGCTGTATGACCACTTGTCAGGTATATTATAATAGTAACAGTGAGGGTCAGAAGACGTTAATCCTAGTGAGAAGGGAGGGACAAAGGGAGGTCGTGGCTCTACCTATTATCAGCTGTGTGACTTTGGATAAGTCACTTATCATTTCCTAGCCAAACAAACTCTCCCTTTTCCACTGTACTCTGTTGCCTTCTATGCTGAAACTTATATGATTTTGCACGCTAAGTCTATATTCTATATAAGATCATTCTGTAGACAAGCAGCATTGTATTATAAGATAGAAGGCTGGCCTTGATGACCCAGAGATCATAGATTTAGGTCTCTGACATATACTCTGTGATCAAGGGCAAGTCACTTAATTATTCAACTCTGTAACTCTTGAGTTACTGACTAGTTGCTCATCTCCATTGAGGGAAAGGGTTTTCACATTGGAAGGTCCTTATGCATCCAGACTAATTACAGATATAGTACTATTAATGTAAAGTTTAATTTTTGGACAAATTGGCCTACTTCCTGTTCCTCATACACAGGATTCTATTGCCTATCTCTGAGACTTTGCCCAGGCTGTTCCTCTGAAATGCCCTCCTTCTTATGCTCACTGTGTGACCATGGGCAAGTCACGTAACCCTTCTTGTAAGGTCTCTTTCCTTACCTGTAAAATGAAGCGGTTGTACTAGATAGCCTCTGAGTTCGATTCTGAGTCTACGATCCAATGAGCCCCTTCCCCTTGGAACCTCTGGTTCCCCTCAAGGTTCGGCTCTGGCACTGCCTCCTCTACCATGCTGCTTACTTGTCAGTGTTCTCCTCCACATCCAACATGACTTCCTATGTATCTGTATATGCATTGCATGCTGTTTATATGTTTTGTCTTTGCATTCTCAGCACCTAAGACAATGTCTTGAACATAGTGTCATGTTTTATGGATATAACTATTCTAAAGCTTTGCCATGGGATGGAATTGACTCTGGGTAACTGAAGGTTATAAGAAGCAGCTGGCGGTCTCTGTGGCTAGAGTGCTGGGCCTGGAGTTAGGAAGATCTAAGTTCAGATGTGACCCTGGGCAAGTCACTTAACCTCTGTTTGCCTTAATCCACTGGAGCAGGAATGGCAAATCACTCCAATATCTCTACCTAGACAACCCAAAGGATAGCACTGGCATGCTATGTTCCACGAGGTCATGAAGAGGTGGACACAACTGAATGACTGAATAATAGTACTGCAAAGCTTATAACCAGAAAGCTGGCACCAGAATGTCTACATGCATGTATCATTACAACCAACCAACATACACACACACACACACACACACACACACACACACACATATATTTGTGTATATACAATATGCATATGCATTATATATACACAAATACATGTTTAAGCACATATACATACATGTATATATATCTCACACAGCAACTCAAGAAGAGGCTATCTGTGATTTTTTTTTCTGTTGGTGGCAGTACTTACATATATAACATTTATAAAACTGGGAATCGTTTAAGTATGAAATCATCTACAAAGTAGTACACATAAGCCCACAGATTTAGAGCTGAAAGGAAACTTAGATGTTACCAAATCCAACCCCCTTAAAGATGAGGAAACTAAGGCCCAGAAAGGTTTACCCGAAGTCACACAGCTACTCAATATCTGAGCTTGGATTTTAAACTAGGCTTTCCTGACTCCAGCTCCAACATGCTATACCATCCCCTCACATTTCCAGAGGAAATGGAGGCTCAAAATACTTTAAATGACTAAAACATAGGGTTAGAAATTGTTTAGCTAGTCAATGTATACTAAAAATGAAAATTGCTCTTGACCTGCCTTAGATAGGTCAAACAAGTAATTATGAAATGTTTGCTACATTCTAGGAACTGTGCTGAGTTGGAGATTAAAACAAAAAAAGTAACCCCTGCACATAGAGAGATGAAATTCTAACCCAGTAGACAACAGATACATATAGAAATATATACAGAATAATACAAAATAGACACAAAGTAGTTTGGGGAAGGAAGGCATTAGTAGTTAGAGGAAGGCTTCATGTAAAAGGTGGTTGAGCAGAGTTTTAAAGAAAGCCAGAGATTCCAAGCAGTAAAGGTAAAGAGGGAGCGTGTTCCAGGCATGTAGTGTAAAGGCATGGAGACAGAAGAAGAAAATAATATCCAAGACTCTAAAGGTAAGAAGTAGACAGGCTGTGAAAGAACTCCCAGCAAAGGAGTTTATATTTGCTCCCACAGGTAACAGGGAGCCACTGAGGCTTGTAGAGTTCTTGAGGGTGGCATGCTCAGACTCATAAGAAAATTGCTTTATTGGCTGTGTGGAGACTTGAATTAGGGAGACCAACTGGGAAGCTATCGCAATAGTCAGATGAAGATTGCTTGAATTTGGGTGGTGACTATAAGAATGGAGGGAATAGTAAACAGAACAAAGTTGTTATAAAGCCAGAAATGGCAAGATTTGGATTGGTTGGATTGACTGGATTGGTTGAGGAATCTAGGATGACCAAGAAGTTGTGGATCTGTGTTAGCTCTTCCTGACTTGAAGCTCAATGCTCTGCACTCCTCAGCTGCCTCAAGAGGGGTAGGTTTTAGGGAAAAGATACTGGAGCTTATGTTCAATGAGTAAGTATGGTCTTATATAGGCTTCCATTATCGCTCTGATCAAGATCTCTTTTAAACCACTACTTGGGTCACCTTGGGCAAAATCACTCTCTGGCCCTCAGTCCCTCCTCTTTAAAATGAGGGGATTGGACTCTTATCTCCTCCATGGTCCTCTTCCAGCTTTAATTTTGTGTTCTTAGCTGAACCTCCTTAACTGGGAGGTTCACTTACTTCTGTACTGATTTTCTAATGAAGTGCTGGACCACATATCTGGTGAATCAAGATTCTGAGGAGCTCCAGGAGATACCATCTTTACCTTCTACTTTTGGTAAGCCTGAGTCCTATCCTGCCACAGAGAGGGAAGGAGATATCCTACTGCTGTCTCTTCCATGTCACTTTCATCAAGCCTCAGCAAACCCTCTAAGTCAACAATTCAACAAGCATTTATAAAATGCTTCATATGCACCAAATGAGACAGTGGGTAGAAGACCAGGCTTGGAGTCAGGAAGATCTGAGTTCAAATATGACCTCAGACACACTCAGGCAAGTCACTTAACCCCTATTTGCCTCAGTTCCAATGGGGAGTATACTGGAGAAGGAAATGGCAAACCACTCCAGTATCTTTGCCAAGAAGACACCATGGACAACATCCATGGGATTATGTAGAGTCAGACACAACTCAAACACAAAAAATCTGTCAAGCACTGTGCAAAACAAAAAAGAAAGGCAAAGACAGTGTTTTGCCTTCAAAGACCTCACGAGACAATCTGCAAACAAGCGTGTGCAAACAAGATACAGAAGAAATTAGAAGTTATCTCAGAGGAAAGGTATTAGCTTTAAAGGGAACTAGGAAAGGTTTCATGCAGAAGATAGGATTTTAACTAAGACTTGTGTAAGCCAGGAGGCATGGAAAGAGGGTATACTATAACCTCCTCTTTTTAAGAGAAGCATACAGACACTGAGTTCTTCAGGAAGAAAAGCTTTGCAGACCTATTCTAGATTCCCTAAGGGTTTGCTTGGAGGTCTGGAAAAAAAAAGCTTAAAAAGCCTTTAAAACAGAGGTTGTTAGCCATTTCTGTGGGTCGTGGACCCCACTGGCCGTCTGTTGAAGCCTATGGACCCCAGAATAAACATTAAATGCCTACAATGACTATACATACATACACACATACCTACATATATAGAGTGGTGTGTGTGTATAACCTCCTGTACGTATCTTTTTGGTCCCCAGTTACTTGCCAGCTGTCTCCCACCATCAGACGGTGAGATCCCTGAGGGCAGACACTGGGCTAGACCTCGGGAGAAACAGACAGGTCAAAGACGGCCCCTTTCTCGGGAGCTCTCAGCCTCCGTAGGAGACCCTACGCGACAGCTGTAGGACAAATGGGAAATGATCAATAGAGCAAAGGCACTAGCGTTACTCGGAACCAGGAAAGGCTTCCAGCAGAAGGTGGGACAGTGGCTGGGGCTTAACAACGTGCTGCCTACACTCACAACGGAAGGAAACGCAAACTTTCGGTTAGAGGTCAGTGAAAATCATGATGTCATTTTTCCCCCATCCAAGTAGGCCCCCCTGGAATCTCTCCCAGGTTAGAAATCCCTGCTTGAGGAGGCTCACGGTTCTAGGGGGGGCCCTCCCAGGCCTAACATAGCCCGGGGCTCCCCAGGCGCCCGGGCGCCGGCCTGGGGCTCCCGTTACACCGGGGCCCCCCTCCCTGCTCGAGTCCAAAATGGCCGCGGGGCACGGAGGGGCTCAGGGCGGCCCCTAAGTGGGCACCCTTTCCCAGCCGCCTCTGCACCCGGCGGTGACGACGGCAAGCCGGAGGGCAACGGGCCGTGCGAGGAGGAAAAGAGGAGGAACCCGGAGACTCTATGGCCCGTTCCCGCCCCCTCTTCCCCACCCCAGTCCCCCGGTCCCAGGCTGCCGCCGCTGCCCCGCCTCCTCCCTTTCCTCCGGGCTTCCCCCACGCTGTCCCCACCCCTCAGCTTTCCCAGGCCTGAGCCCCTGCGCCCAGCCAGGCCCTGGTGGCGCTCGCGCTGCCTGCCGGGATACTCCGCCCGCCCAGCCAGTCCTCCCAGCTTGCGCCGCGGCCGTGATATCCGTGTTTCTCCCAAGATGGTGGCGCTGGGTTCGGGGTGACTATAGGAGACGACAGGGCCCCTTGCCCGCCCCGACCTCCGACCTCTCCCCTCCCCCGACACACAGCGCTCTCCTCTCCTCTCCACCCGCCCGTCCCCTCCGCCGCCGCCGCTGCCGCTGCCGCCTCCTCTACTTCCACCTCCCCCCAAGGCCGGCTCCGCCGTGCGCCCCGCGCCCCGCGCCCCGGCCCAGAGCCCCCTCGGGCGACGACGGCGCTTCCTTCGGCTCCAGCTCCGGGCCCCGCGCGGAGCCGCCCGTCCGCCGCTGCCCAGCACCGGCCGAGCGGGCCCCTGAGCCCCCCGGGGTGGGGGGAGCGGCCGCGGCTGCGGCTGGAGAAGAGCGAGGGATCCCCGGCGGCCCCGCGGGCTCCTTGCCTTCCCCCGGGCCCCGGAGAAGGAAGCGCGGATCCCGCATGAGCCCCGGCGGTGGCGGCAGCGAAGGGGAAAGAGGAGGCGGCGGCGGGAGGAGGCGGAGGAGGAGCGGGGCGGCGGCGGCGCCTGCTGCTGCTCCCACCACCGCTGCTGCTGCTTCTGCTGCTGCTGCTGCTGCGAGGGCCGCGGCCCAGCCCGGGGCACCACCACAGGTCGGTGTTGGCGGGACCGGAGCCCCTTCCTGGGCTCCCCGGGGCAGGCGGGTGGGCTGCTGGGCCCAGGGCCGAGTCCTCGCTCGGCCGGGGCCGCGTCCCCGCCGCCGGGCCAGGGCCCTAACTGTCAGTTTGGGAGGCGTCCCCCTCCGCCGCCGCCGCTGCCGCCGGAGGGTTTTAACAGCCCCCGGCCCAGAGCCGGGGGGCGGCAGGCGCGGACCCCGGCCGGCGCTGAGCGATTGCCCGGACCCGGGAGGAGCTCGTCCTCTCTGCTCCAAACTGTCAGGTCCTCGCTTCCTTCCTTCTTCCTCCGCCGTGTTTAGCGCAGAGTATCTGCTAGTGGACTCGTAGTTTGTTTCTGGGGGAGGGAAGGAGAAGAGCTGTTGGATCTGTCTGATGGGATCGGGCTGCAAACGGAGCTTCTGCATAAAGTGTTTTTAGGCAGCCGCCGGTGGGGACCCCCCCACCCCATCCCAAGTTGCATTGGAGTTCATGGCATTTGCTAATGGGAGAAGTGTGTGAAGACTGGGAAATAATTCTGACCCCCCCCCCGACTGAGTGAGAAAACACGCACACACACGGAAATAGTTCCCTTCTTGTCCCTTCTCCCAGCTGAGTGAATGAGAGAGGAAAAAATACTCACATGCACACACACAAACACACATGCACACACACGAAACCACTCCTGGAAATAGTTCTGTTTTCTTCCCCTCCCCCAACGGAGTGAATGAAAGGGGGAAGACAACACCGAGAGGCGCACAAACGGCGCCAGGCCCGGCCTGTGCCTCGGTGCTGCCTGGATGGGTGAAGCTGTTCTTCCGTGAGCGAAATGTGTTTGGATGAAAAGCAGACAAGTAGTATTATTTCCTCTGGATTTATTTCATCGAAGACACAGGTGTTGTCTTTTTTTTTTTTTGTAAATCTTAGAATCCTAGAAAGATGATTCATGGTCTCATTTTGTTTTCTTTTTATGACATCCTATGGGAGGACAAAAATAGAAGAGGTGTAGAACCGTATCAAGATCACATTTATTAGGTGGCCAGTAAGCAAAAATTTAAAATAGTAACATTTAGTCCATTGTTGAACAGGCACCTAAAGTGGTGTGTGGGATGGGAAATGCTCCTTTAGCACAGAAATTGAGACAGCTTATCAGTGATGGCTTTGGTGACACAGGTATTAATTGAAACCACTTACAGGCAGTAAGTGGGTACGTACTAGACATTGCAAAACTTTAATCATTTTTTTAAAAAAAGGCTCCAGGGGGCAGCCATTTAAACTTAAAAACTTTTAAAATATGAACTTTTGTAAAAAAAAAATTTTCCTGATAGCATCGTATTGTCATTGTGATTGTAGATGCCATAGAACAACCACAGTGTTAAAGCGTAGCTGTAGAAGTTTTCATTATCAGGTTTGACACATGCAAAAAGTGAGTATATTTTGATCACTTGTTAAGTTTTCTTAATAGACAAAAAGAATTTCTTAGGCAAAAGTAATAGTCATGGATTTGAAAACAAATCTGGCTGTATCAATCCTGCTTATTAATCGGTTAAATTCAGCAACTAATTTATCCAGCACCTACTGTGTGATAAGCATTGTGTGAGGTTTATGGGGTTACAAAAGCGAAGTTGTTTGCTTGTGAAGCTTAAATTACTTTAGGGAGATAAAATATAAACATGAAACAATTGAAAGTGATACAAGGCAATTTAAGTAAGTAGCAAATTACAGTTATATATCAGTATTAAAACTATCTGTGATTTTTCATCAGTGTGAATACTCTTATGCTGCACATAACCCAAGCTTTCATGAGAGTTGTGTTTCTTATCTGATGTTGTAGTTGAGATATTTCCTTAGTGTAGTGATGTGTCTCCAGTAGCTAAATGAGTCCTACAACAGTTATACAGTTCATCAGTGACTAGAGAGTAAGTATTGGAAGTCTTTCCAGTTTGACCCAACAGACTTTGTGCTGCACTAGCATAGCCTTTGAAAATGCAGGTCCACCCCATGCCAGGAGGAGGCATCAGAATAGGACTATACTGGAAATTCAAATATAGAAGGACATTTTAAAGGTGATTTTTTTAAAGGATTATGACCTGACGAGTAATCATGCAGTCATGTTGTGCAAGTCTAGGTGATGCTGGTGTATACAGGATGTCCTAAGTCTTCCTGTAGTTTTATGTTAAAGCTTAAAAAATATTAAAGCTTTAAAAAGCTATTAAAACTTGAAACTCATGAAGACATTTGGGATTCCCTATGTCAGATAGTGCAGCCCTGTTGAATCCTTGGTAGATAAAAACAAATATTTGATTGACCTCTGCTGATCTCTGGGGATTAATAGCAGACAAGTGGTTCTGCTATACTGCTTCAGTTCAGATTCACTCATTTGATGCTACTTGTTCAGCAAGGTGTGCATTTCAACTTTATTCTCATAGAACTAAAATCATCCTATACCTTTCAGTAGGATATAAAACACATTGATGATCATGCTCCAATTTCTAATTGGTTACAGCGCACTAATTCCTTTTTATCATTTCTGTTATAGAATAAATGTTCACACATGCATTTTGTTCATGGTTATAAAATATACTGATTAGTTAATATGATTTCTGTGGTAACACTTGAAATAACATCCACACAGAATTCTGTACATCTTTCATCAGTCACTTAGTTAATTCCTTGAGAATTTTGTGTTTGCTCAGTGATCCCTCTCAAGTATCTGGTACAGACTCATCTTTATCCCACTTGAAGATTTTCAGATTCATCAAGAGCTTCTCTCATTGCTGATTAACTCTCTACTTAAGCTCACTTCCTCAAAATTTTCCCCTTCCCCCCTTCATCTCAATAAGTACCACACACTTCATAAACTTTAAGGTGCTATATAAATGTGAGTTATTATTCTTGGCATTACTTGTCCTCATATTTTAATATATTCTTTTCTTGAAATAATATAGCAGGAAAATCAGATGAATTGTAAGATAAGATAAAATAGGTATAAGAATATTAAATGAATATATAGTCTTTCTACTAATGTCCTACTTTAATTCCCAGTTATTATGTGATTTCAGGTTCTCTATTGCAAGCTATCTTAGATCTTACTAAGCTGAAACAGCTTTAAATATGGGTCGTGTGACAAACTGGCCCTGTGGTTGGACAAATACCAGTTTAGTTCGGCATAGAGAGGCTCCTTAACAGAATGTTGGCCAATCTCATGAAACATGTAAAGGTTGACATCTCTGTCCATGGAGGGAGTACCCTGACTGATAAAATTACAGATCTTTCAAAGTATCAGAGTAAAGTACTATGTAACTACTTCACTAGATCTGTGATTTCATTGGTATTGCTTACTATTTCTGCCGATATTTTGTGAAACTTCTCTGTGACTTAAGTAGTTAGATGAATTGGTACGGCCAAATTCATCCCTTGGTAGGCTGGTAGCAAAACCTTTGTTGATAAGGTTCTCTAGGCATAGAATGAATTGTCCTTAGAGTACTTAATTCAGGCCACATTCAATGCCTTTCCATTCCTTTCCATTTCCATAGGCCCTGCCAAAACTTCATGCCCTGCCGCTGAGCACTACTCCTCACCTCCCCTTTCCCTAAGCCGTCCGGCACCCCAAGGTCACCTTTGCTTCTTGGGAATAGGACTTTAGTAGAGCATCATGCAGTTATTTTGTTAAAAATCTTGTGACACTTTTTTAGTCATATGGCATTGTGGCAGTTCTGTTATCTTGACTTTGAGGCCGTGCCATTTTTTTTCCTTTGAAAATCTGCAGAATTTTTCTGTTTTTACTCATATTGTAGGCAGTGGAAGTTTCCAAAACTGCTGGTCATGTCTAAAATTTTAGTCTGAAACAATAGTATTTCCAGATGTTTACTTAAAAAAAAAAGTTGTTGGATATGTTCTGTAGCAGCTTTCCAAACTTGTGTTCAGAACCATTAACATTAGCTATTTACACAAGCAGTTTCTTGTGTAAATGAGCAGGTCTCTGTTTTCCAAATATAAAAGTATGTAGAAATGATATTTTGAGTTAAAGTACTTGGGTAAAACTGTAATATGTTCTCATAGGTGCAGATTTGTGGCTTTTTTCATAGTGCTTTTTATTTTTCAAAATGCCTTGACATATGTTAAGATGCAACTAGATGGGAGAGAGAGAATGAGCATTTATATAGTACCTAGTATGTGCCAGGCACTATGCTAAGGGCTTTTTTTTTTAAAGAGACAGTTGGGGTTAAGTGACTAGCCCAAGATCATACTGCTAGTAAGCATCTGAGGCCTCATTTGAACTCTGGTCCTCCTGAATCCGGCATCCGTGCCCACCTACCTGCCCCACTAAGGGCTTTTCCAGATATCTCACTTGATCCTCAAAACAACTCGATTGGCAAGTGTTGTTATTATTCCCGTTTTACAGTTGAGGAAACTTGAGGCAAATAGAGTTTACATAACTTTCCCAACATCACACAGCTAGTGTGTTCCCAAGGCTGGATTTGAATTTAAATAATCCTTACTCCAGATCCAGTGCTCTCTCCATTTCACCAGCAGCTACAAATTCAACTTCAGACACTTACTAGTTTTGTATCTTAACCTGTCTGCCTTAGTTTCCTTACCTGTAGAATGGGGTTATCACTTACCTCCCAGTGTTGTTGCGAGAATAAAATGAGATATTATCAAAGTTCTGTGCAAACTTTAAAGCAAGTATTTTATCCTTTTCACCTTATATACCCATTTATCTGTGGAGAAGTGTTTGAGACTTCTTAAAAGTCATGCCAGATCTCCTTACCTTCTATTCAAGGATCTATACTAGAAAATGCTGTAAGCTAAGGTTTTTCTTCTGCTTTGTTTTGCCCTCTTTTGGGGGAAGAGGTGGGTCAGTATGGGGAACTCCATGTGTGAGAAACTCCTTCAGATTCAGTTCACCAGCTATATATTCTTATGGGGAAAGTCAACATTGAATTCATGTGCTTACAGAGTTGCCTGGGACAGAGAGGAAAAGCAATTTATTTAAGGTCACATGATTAGTGTGTTAAATATAAGCAGGATTTGAACTTCTTGATTCCAAGCTATCTAGCCCTTACTTGTACATGTTGCCTCTCTTGTCTTCATAGACCCATAGAATCTTCCTTTTTTTCCATACTTTAGAAAATTACACGTATGTAATTTTCAATCAGTAAATTTACTGATTGCCTACTGTTATCTGCAGGAGGCAGTGATAGATACTAAATTGAATACAAAGTATAAGACCGATCTCTGTCTACCAGCAGCTGGAAGACTAGTTAGAAAAACAATAGCCTGTCAGTACATATTTTCAGTGAACTAGGAGATCTAGAAATAAAGGTTTTTATGTGATAGAAATGTTAATATTAGTGATAAATCTAATAATCCTATGAAACAGTTCTAGCCAATTCCAGTCAGTCCTCTCTCCTTAATGAGATCA